CTCTGTCTCTCTCTCAAAATAAATAAACTTAAAAAAAAAAAAGCTACCAGAAACTCTTTGGTAAGATGTTTTGACGAATACTCAACATCCTGGGTCAGCCACATTATCAGTAAGACCCTGATGGCCTGGCACTATCAGGGCGGGCGAGATCCGTCATGATCTATCACAGGGAAACCCGCACACAGCTTCCTGCTGGAGCAGACATGCCTGGGTTGCAGAACTTAATGGCACTGATTCCACTTAGTGGTTTATATGGACAGACACAAATGAGCTCAGCAAAGACAAATGCCTGGTAGGAGGAAGCTGGGTTTTTTTTGCCTCCTCATATTCCCTTTTAAACTGTCTTCTCTTTCTCCTCACATTTCATTAATTTTGTTTGTATAGTCCTTCCCCCGGAATCTGCTGTCTGTAATCTCCACTTGCTTATCACCTCATTCCATTCTACTGCAAATGAGTTTTGGGCAATGAATTAGAGGCAAGGGGGTCATTAGAGCTGATCTTTTTAGGGGTAGCAAATAGGATTCATCTACTTGTCAGTGATTAGTAGTGACCTCAAAAAAAAAAAAAAAAAAAAAAAAAGGGTGAACTGTGTGAATCAGGGTCTGTAGAGGGTAGGAGGAGGGAAAAGAGAGGGTCATTTGCATGTTACTCACTATTCCTGATCAAGAGTCTGTTCACCAGAGTCAGATGCAAGACTAACCCATGAAAGCCATTTGAGATGTGGGCTCTGGGGTCAGACTGCCTGAGTTGGAATCTCAGCTCTGTGTGGCCTTGGACAAATCACTGAACTTCTTAGGTCTGTTTTCTCAGCTATAAAAGGATACTATTTCCTCACCTCAGTGGCTTCTTATGCGTATTAATGACACCAAGTCAATCAGATGGGGGGGAAAAAGTCTTTTCAATAAACAGTGTAGAAAGAATCAGATTTCCTGATGCTTAACAAACAAAGAACCTCTTTTGGGCTGCCTGGGTGGGTCAGTCACTTAAGCATCTGCATTCGGCTCATTCGGCTCAGGTCATGATCTTGGGTTCGTGAGTTCAAGCCCCGCATCGGGCTCTGTGCTGACAGTTCAGAGCCTGGAGCCTGCTTCAGATTCTGTGTCTCCCTCTCTCTCTGCCTTTCCCTCGCTCACACTGTCTCTGTCTCTCTCTCAAAAATAAACATTAAAAAAATTAAAAGCAAAAGCAAAGACACACTCTTCTTACCTCACATGCACAATCCTAATATACAAAATATACACGTAACATACAAAAGTTAATTGGAGATAGTTCATAGTTCTAAATGTAAAATCTAAATCTGCACAGTTTGTAGGAGAATATTCTCTGTATAATCTGGGGGTAAGTAAAATTTTGTGACAACTGATAATGGGAAATCTCACTAAAGTGGAGTTGGGAGGTTAGAAGGGAAAGCCTCAGCACTAGAGTCCCTTCCAGGAAGGCTTGTCAATTCCAGACCCCACCAGAAGAGGAAACAGAAAAGAATCATCAATTACAGGCCCCAACAGGGAATAAGGTTCATTGCATGTTCTACAAGAAATCGACTACCCCTGCAACGCAGCCAATGAGAAACTGTCATCACTCTGAACTCTTGCTTTTTCCTAATGGACTTACATTCAAAACAAGTCCTCCCCCTTCCTCCTTCTCCATAATACGGTTCTGTCCTTTGTTGGACTTGCCTGTGGTTTTGCCATAGCCTGCACATGCCAGGATGTAATTCTCTGCTGTTCTTGAATAAGCCCATTTTGCTGGTAAAATAACTGGCTGTTTTATTTTTTAGCTTAACAATTCTTAGACAAGACACAAAAAGAAATTACCATTAAAAACACTTGATAAAACACAGACTTTATCAGAATCGAAAACTCTCTTCATCAAGAGATACCATAAAGATGATGATTAGGTCAACTATAAAATTATTTCCAAACCATATAACCTGACAAAGACTTGTAACAGAAGATACGGAGAATTCTTACAGCCCAATAATAAAAAGATAAAAGAATAAAACAACATGGGAAAAAGAAATGAAGAGATAATTTAACAAAGGAAGATATACAAATGACCCATGAACAGGCAAATCTGCTCATCATTAATCTTTAGGAAGATGCAAATTACAACTACAATGAAATAGCCACCAGAATAAAATCAAAATGACTTAGAATACCAACTGTTGCCAAAGATGAGGAGAACCCTCTTCCACTGCTGATGGGACTATAAAAGGCACAACTATTACTCTGTGCAAAGCTTTGGCAGTTTCTTACAAAAATTGCAGCTACTTTCTGATCAGCAATTCTACTCCCAGGTATTGGCCCCAAAGACCTGTACAAGTGTTCATAGCAGCTTATTCATTAAAATAAGTGAAACAGGAAAACAAATTAATAAACTGTGCTATGTTTATGGAAGTGATTTTTAAACTTAGGAAGGTATCATGATCTTGAGGAAGGAGGAAAGAAAGTAGAGTTTGAAAGAATCTCTCCAGGTGAGTCTGATATGCACCCCTAAGTATTCCATTTTTCAAATAATCGACTTACAAAGGAGCCTCTGGAACACAGTTTATATGAAAACATTTTCTGATGCATGGTCAACAGCTGACCATCGGGGAGCATTTCTGCTAGAATTCTATTCTGGGGTTTTCGGTGCCAGCACTTAGGTGCAGGAGCAGGGAAGGCACAGTGGTTTCACACTTGAGCGTGAAATCGAAACATTATGCTGATACCACATTGGTATGATTTACATGGTTTTTGTGGGCATCATATTTGTAAATACCTTTCCAAATATAATTTTCATCTGACCAATGTTGGCATTTGTTTATAGTGGCTGAATCCATACAAACTGCTAATACCAGAGGGTCCATATGTGTAGTTAGAAGAAGGTAGAATTTGTTATCATTACCTGTAATTTACTGTCAGATAATCAAGAACTGATTATAACTATTCAGCAAAATAGCTTCCAGCTATAGGGTCTACAAACATAATTTGTTAGAAAGTCATTTGCAATTAATAAAATTCCTAACACAGCATATTGTTAAGACCCTGACATTTTTTTCAAGGATCATCTAAACTACTATAGAATTTTAAATTAACAAATAATACATGTTCATACAAAGTGGAGTACACTCAATACCCACTGCAACTTAATTAGCATCTATAGGAAGGGAAAACAAATTAAGTGAGCCTCCACTCAATTTATAGTTTTTTTTAAGTTTATTTATTTATTTTGAGGGGTGGGTAGGGAGGGAGGGGACAAAGAGAGAGAGAGAAAAGGTGAGCAGGGCAGGGACAGAGAGAGAGAGGGAAAGAGAGAGAATCTCACTGTCAGCGCTGACACTGATGCTGGGCTTGAACTCAGAAACTATGAGATCATGACCTGAGCCGAAATCAAGAGTTGGACATAGAACCAACTGAGCCACCCAGGTGCTCCTATAGTTTCATGTGTGAAGGATATTAATAAATTTTCAAATACATGAAAGCCTTATGCTTTCATAAGCATTCTTGAAGAACTTACGAGTTGACATGCCAGCATGAGAAACTGTTGAAAACTTATTACACAAAATGTAAGCACTTCCTAATTCTGAGACCCCTTCAATGAACGCAGACCCTCTTGAGTTAACAAAAACCTGAGAGAAAATGGTGCCTAGAGCTGTGTTTCTCTAGCTTTGCACTTCCAACCCCGCTCCTGCTCACACCACCCTCTGCCTCGGCCAAACAAAAATCTCACCCTCTACTCTCTGACTCTGAAAATATATTTTTACCCCTAATTGTAAAACTATGTTCTAGAAGCCTTTTCAAATTGCCATTGATGCCCTCTTCCCCAAAAGATTCTGGTGTTTCTTGCCCTCTTCATGTTTGACTGGCGATGTAAATGGACAAAATTAAGTTTTAGTGATGAAGAATGGGATCTTAACGGGTTTTGCTCCACACTTTCTAGAAGACAGGAATTTCTGTGTTGGAATAAGCAGGGCAAGGACAAGCGTTTCAAATGATATTCTGAGTGAAAGCCGCACAGGCAGCAGGGGGTCTGTGCCACCTGCAGCACAACCAGGAGCAGAGCTCTGCTACGTGAGACCAGCATAGGTGCAAACAGATGGTGGTGACGGTCAGCAGGGCTAATAGACATGGACCTCCCCAGGATGACCGCCCCGCTGGAAGCCCTGACGCCTCATTACTGCTTCACACTGGCTCAGGGGTGGGGGTGGAGGAGACCCTCAGAAGCCAAGACTATGGGCCACCAGGAGTGCCCCCCTCTACAGTTTATCCCCTTTAATGTGAAAGAGAAAAGGGAGTCTGGCAAACAAAAGCTTTCATATTTTAACAAAGTCCTACATCTGTTTTGAATATCAGAGTGTCCTTGTTTGTCAACAATATACTTAGATATTATGGTTGGATATTTATAATATTATAAACTTATCTCTATGTCACTGAAGTTCCAATGATTGCTCTAGAGCTCCAATACAGGGAGGCAGTGACTTGAACAAAATTCTGTTTTAATTTAAAGGCTGAGGTATTAATAGTTAAGAAGACGAATCATTAAATTCGTCTGATTTCCAAAGTGTATTTCATTGTGCCTTGCTCTTACCAAATATCCTAACTTTCTATTTTCTTGAATGCTCATACCTGAATTTTATATTATTTGGATACTTTAGCTATTACTATTGTAGGGAGACTAAAAGATTCTGAAAAATTTGCCTAAATTATGAGAGATACATAGTTAGTCACAAGGGGAAAATAAAACTGATTCAGAGACCAGTTCTCTTGTTATATTCAGGTAGAAATGTGAATTCTGCTTCATTAATTCCATCTACTTCCTCAAAACTAAGGGACTTTGCCAAAACACTAATCAATCTTTGTGATTATTGTCATATACTTTGATATATGAGCAACAACCTCCAACATCAAATATTATAAATAAAAATGTATTTAAAAAATAAAATTATGAAAAAAGCATTGGTTACAATCCAATTAAAAAACGCACAGAGGGCGTAACTGGGTGGCTCAGTCAGTTATGATCTCATGGTTTGTAAGACTGAGTCCTGCGTTGGGCTCTGCTGCTGACAGTACAGAGTCTGCTTGGGATTCTTTCTCTCCCTCTGTCTCTGCCTCTTCCTTGCTTGTGCTCTCTCTCTCAAAATCAACAAATAAACTTATAAAAAAAAAAGGGCAGAGGATTTGAATAGACATTCTTCCAAAGAAGACATACAGATTGCCAACACACAAATGAAAAGATGCTCAACATCACAAATCATCAGGGAAACAGAAATCAAAACCACAACGAGATATCACCTCACACCAGTGAGAATGGCTAAAATAAAAAAGACAAGAAATAACAAAC